TTGGGGCCCCCACCCGCCGCTCGGGGGTGGGGGCCACGGGGGGAGGACCTTAGGTCCCCCCCCTTTTTAGTATTTAGGGCCCCCACCCGCCGCTCAGGGGTGGGGGCCGGGGGGGAGGACAGTAGGTCCCCCCCTCATTATTTTTATGGCCCCCACCCACCGCGCAGGGGTGGGGGCCGGGGGGGAGGACAGTAGGGCCTCCCCCCCATTGTAATTAATGGCCCCCACCCGTTGCACAGGGGTGGGAGCCAATAGTTTTTTTTTGTTTTGTTTTGTTTTTTTTACAGTGAGCAGCCACTGGCTGCTCACTGCTTACTAGACATGCCCCTACTCGCTGCATAGCGAGTAGGGGCAGATCATTTACTAATACTAAGTAATCTTTACTTAGTATTAGTAAATGTGGCTGAAAGACCAATTTAGGTCTTTCAGCCTTTTAGTAGATAACTCCCTAATACCGTGGGAATTAGGGAGTTATCTACTAAGCGGCTGCAAGATGCAGCCGCGGATCGGAGTTTGCATGCCACAGTCCAGGTGTTAGTCCCCTTGAAACATCTTGTGTGTTTTAAAATTCGCCTGTCTATTGAAGTCTATGGCGGTTCGCCCGGTTCGCGGGTTCGCGAACATTTGCCGAAATTCGCGTTCGCCGTTCGCGAACCGAAAATCTTATGTTCGCGACATCACTACTTGTATGGTTGTGTGTCTGTATGTTTGTGTATTTGTGCATGTATGTATTTTTGCCTGTATCTATGTCTATGTGGGAGAAAAAGAGAGATAGATAGGGGCTGGCGGGGAAGTAAGAAATACATAAGAGGGGTTGTAGGAGACACACTAAAGGGGGCTGTAAGGCACAAAGGAGCCAAAGGGGTAAGACATTCAAGAGAGTGGATATGCAACACTAATGGGGATAAGAAATTCAAAAGGGGGCTACAAGACACAGAGGTGAAGATGCATTGTTTATTTTTTTTTATTTTTTTTGGGGGGGGGGCGTCAAAATGCATCTTCGCCTGTGTAGTCAAAAATCCTAGCACCGGCCCTGGTGGTACCAGTGGTGGAGGTGCTACTGCTCCTCCTTATCGAACATACCTTACATTGTAGTGGTTTCACAATGCCTTATGTTTATACTGCACACAGCACACAGGGCACTGCACAGCGCTCACATGTTTGCACATCACACAATTAAAGAAATAAGGTGCTTAAAACTAATTATTCGATGATGCTGAACTCTCTAACACTTTTATTGCTGCTAATGTGCACTGGATTGAGCAACAAGGAAACAATTGGTCTCTGGCAATGGCTTGGCACAGTAGTAATCTAGCCACCTCACCAGTGTCACACTAGGAACAATGACACAGGCTATCTCTTACTTTTCTCTTATGCTATCTTTTGAATGACTTGATTTCAATTAAATTTCAACACAGCCAATATGAGCGTTTCCTAAAAGTTTTATATTCTCAGAAGTGATATCGCTGCTTTAATGTCATAGAAGAGATATTTTGTCACCGGACGTTATAATGTTGCAATGTTATTTACCCACACACACACAAAAAATAATGTATGTGAGTTAATTACAGGGGGGCAGGGGGAGACAAGGGGGAGTGGGAAAGGAGGGAGGAAGGGGGAAAAGAAAAGGAGAGGAACAAAACTGAGAAAAACTTTACCTGTTCATGTGCAGAATGGACATTTGGTGTATGGAAGTTTACTTAATTTATGTAACCCAGCTTATGTTTATTATGTAACTGTTCCATATATGATTGAACTCAAATAAAGATTGTAAAAAAAAAAAAAAGTAAATTTCAAATTATAAAAAATAAAATTCCTAAATTGGGAAATATTCTGCAATTCAGCTCTGTTTTCACTTCTGCTGTTCTTCCCTAAAATTTGGAATTCTCTTTGAATTTCCAACAATATTCAGTTTAGTAAATAACCCTAAGAACCCTACAACCCTAAAAAGTGCAAAACGTGCACTCACACACAAGATAACCAGCCTCTAGGTAAAACATTCTCAAAATTATCTCCTACATGTCTTGTATAGTGCGACCAGTTCCCAAACACCATCAAGCTCCGGGGGTCTCTTGAACTAACATTTTTCTTTCAAAGAGCATGGAAAGCAAAATATATTTGCTAGCGGGATGGCCACCTATCATGGATTTTTGCTTTTATAACACACTTGGGGCTATTTACAAAACCATGAACAAAATATTGCAATAATAGTCAATTTAGAAGAATTCTAACTCATTACTTTTGCCCAAAATATGCAGCTCCCTTACCAATTGCCATTCCTTGTTGGTATAAAATGAATTCTTCCGTGTCTTCCAAGAGAAAACAAAAGGTTTGACGTACAAAGGACTTCTTTTTGCCACAGAGGGAGACGACAACTTTTAACTCAAATAATAACATTTATTTACTATATAAAGGTTAGACAGATGTAAAAGAAGAAATGTAACACCATACTCAAAAATCCTCCACTGTGTCACGCACCGATTAAAAGAGTTTGAGAAATGACTGGCCTTGAAAGAAGAAGAGTTGGAAGGTCACAGAGGTAGAGAATTTTATGATAACTAAAAGTTATTTTTTACTAATTTTCTGAATAAAGCAAATGTTGCTCTGTAGGACACTGTAGACACAGAAAGTGAAAATGCAGATATATCACATCAATCACATTTATATATGATGGTATACTTGTTTTGGCAGGGTCCTCGCTACTTATAGAATTCTTTGTCTTATATTACCTATTGAGCAGAGCTGCTGAAAATGTTGACACTATAAATAATTGTGATTGTATATAAGAAATGACCTAAATCTAGTGCATTTATGTCCTAGACATTTCACCATGTGTGGCTTTGGTTCTCTAACCTCCCATACTGACTGTATGGACTGATGTTTAACCTGGAAAGCCAATCAAGCGCTTGTGTGCTTCTGACAGACGACTGATCCTTTGTTTTAGAAAATTCCTGGTGCTGGTGAGGTCTCGGTTCTCTTTGAGAAGGGTGCTGTGTTCTTCCCTGTCTTGTAGAATTTTCAACATATCCTTTTGCATTTTTTTTCCATATTCTTGCAGTATGTGAAACTGAATAATCAAGGGGATTTGATTGGAGAGGCGATCTGCAGCACTCTGTAAAACAAATAATGTACAGTGGAATATTTAATGGTGGTAGCATTTCTCAATAATGCAACATTACCAATACATCTATCTCTTTCCTCCAGGGTCAGGTTTCATTGAAAAGGTACATGAGATATGTTCCTCTACTGCATGTTTGATCAGTATGGGAGGTATACAGAAGTGGCTAGACTGTCCGAATCATGTCATAACCAGAACCCACTCCACCTCCAGATTAATCTATGCAGTCTGATTTACAGCAGATATCATTTACTACGTTGTCTCACATGTGTAAGACCCACTATCTGCTGTGGCACTTGGCTTACTTCAACTATGGAGCACATTCAGGTTGGAGAAAACTTAAAATGTGGATGTCTGGTTACTTTAGTGTAAGCCCCAATAAGATTGACACCCTTGGGTTTTTGGATGTCTGATGAATCCAAAAACAGAATACCAGCAGGATACTGTAACAATATTGAAAAATATATTGATGGAGAAGATATTGATACAGTTAGTATATCCCAACCATCTGCCTTATCAGTGTCAGACCAAGTACAGTGGTACGTGGTACTTGGTTGGAAAATAGTCAATAAGCACTGGTGTAGACAACATTGCTTATTCCTCCTCTTGGAAATGTATTCCCAGGTTATTCTGATTAAATAAACAATACAGACAATATAAACCAGGGCTAAACCTAACGATTTGAAATTCCATGGCACCTGCCTAGATCAGCTATGCCCGTTGATTCACTTATTACATCATATTCAAAAATGTTCCACAGAGAAGGAATCAAAAAGCATTGGATAACCCTTAGGAATAAGAGCATATAATTTAAAATTAAGAAATCCCCAAATAACACCTAATTTAATTCAGTGAACAACAGATACAAAGGGAATCTAAGAGACAATACCCTCACATGTAAGCCAATGCTAATTTATATGGGAGAATCCTTTATTAAATGCTAGCATAAATGTTGAGTGGTATGTCTACTAAATGTCTCTAAAAGGGGGTAGGTTTACCACCACTCAGGAGGATAATATAGAGAAGTAAAAATCTATCTCAGTGTTACTTTTAAAAATGAGTCATAGTATTATAATTGTATAAAAAAATATGTATATCTACTCTCTCAAAGTGGTAAGAAAGTTGCAGTTAATAAAGTGTCAGAATGGGATAATTTACACAGGGAAGTATCAAGCGTAGGAAACTAGGAGTCCTATTATGATCGGGCACACGGCACGTATCTATCAGTGAGTTACTAGGCACCTAAGATAAAAGAAATCTCGCTGCTAAACTCAGGATAACTATTCCTACTGGCTGTTAGATTTCTATGATGATTAGATACTGATAACTCATATTTAATAATAGTAGATACCTGAGATCCCTCACTCCAAGAGCCTTAAGGCAATGGCTGCCATACAGTTGGATACCTCCTAAGTCTGAGACAAACTAAATCAGATAACCCAAGTGCTACATTAGTAAGCCCAAAAATAATAAAGTGTACAAGACACCCGACGTGCATTTCGGCGCAACTACAATGCGCTTACGTCCGGGGCTAGTGTAAAGATGCTTCCCACAGAACCGTTATAAATATCGGCGCCAAATAGCTAATACACACCCCTTGGTTCCATTCAGCCAATTGTTTTATATTAGGGGCTTGGAAAACGGGATGGCGCCCTCCTCTTATTACAGTTATATGGGGAGAAAGCAGTTAAGAGTATATAAGTGGATATTTATATATAGATACTCTCATTTTTTTTCTATATCAATGTATTCAGTAATCCATTGTTTATTCCTTTGTGCTACGTACAGCAACAAATCTGATTGATCTCTCAAATCATTGAGAGACGGCAAGTGAAGTGTGAAAGTTTTAATGTTTAACATTGCTTCTGTGTAAAGGGGCAATGTCAATGTTTATAAATAAACAACAAATTCTTACTAATTGAATACATCTCTCAACCTGAAAGATGTGGTAAATGGAATATCTAAATTTTCTTTCTATGACTGTGCTCCCGTAGGGTAGAGCAACATAAATGTTCTACCCGTAAGATGTAAATATTGTTTGTGTATTTTGGGTAGGCAATAAAAGGTTGAAATTTTAAGGAACTTGTTGTAGATAAAAGAAAATTGACCGATTGTGTGAGGGGTAGGCAACTTGACTCAAAGTGGTAGCTTGTATGTAGATGAATTCTAAGAGATTTTGTTACGCTGCCATCCTTCTTGAAGGACAACAAAGAAACCCCTAATTATCTGACAAAAATACAAAAACCAGCAGGGGCACATCTGTGCAGTTTGGATGTGGAGTGTCTTTACTCCTCCATACCTCACTCTACCGGTTTGCAACACACAAAGAATTTTTTCGAACAGAAAGGTGAAAATCACAAGTTTATCCTTACTCATAATTTTTTCCTCTTCAATAATTAATTCTACCTACAGGTGCAGGGGACTGCGATGGGGACGTCTTGTGCCCCATCGTATGCCAACCTGCACCTAGGATGGTGGAAAAAACGGTGGTCTTTGCTGAGGAGCTCGCCCATGTCACCAGGTACATACGTGCTGGTGATTTGGACGGGCTCCTTGGAAACCTTTGAAGAGTTTGTCAATAATCTTAATCACAACAAGATAAATTTAAAGCTCACCAAAGAAGTTGTCATCCTTCAACTTTTTGGACCTCACACTAACAGTCGCTCAAACTAACTATCTCCAGACAACACTATTTAAGAAACCTACAGCCACGGATAGTGTATTGGAATGGGAAAGTTACCATCCCAAACCGCTCAAAAAGGACATCTCGAAAGGGCAATATTTAAGAGTAAGAAGAAACAGCTCAACATTGGAAGATTTTAAGCTAAAAGCCAGAGAACTACGCACACAATTTAAAAAGCGTGGATATCTAAATCGGTGCCTGAAATAGCATATAAAAGGGCTCTGGATATGGATAGAGATGTGATGCTACAAAATACCAAACAAAAAACAGAGGATCAGCAGATACGATGCATTGCGGATTTTGATCTTGGGTGGGGACTGGCCAAAATGATACTTAACCAATTTTGGCCTATACTTAAACAAGACGCACACCTAAAAAATGTATTAACTCCCAATGCATCACTAACTGCTAGAAGAGGAAAGAACCTTAAGGATTTTCAGGTACCAAGTCACCCCTCTCCTAAAAAATCTTCTGAGACATGGCTTAAGAACACGCTAAGAGGCACCTACCAATGTGGCAAGTGTGTGGCGTGTGAATTTGTCCTACGGGACTCTAAAGCCATTGATGATAGTTCAGGTTACAATAAGATCCAAGTTAAGGATTTCTTCAACTGTAATACCACAGGAGTAGTTTATCTTTTGACCTGCTCCTGTGGTAAAAAAATGCGTTGGGAAGACCTTTAGGCATGTCAAACTATGTATTTAAGAACACATTCGTTCAGTTAAATACAGAAATGAAACACCAATCGCCAGACATTTATGGGAACACCATTTAGGCCGCTCACAGGATTTACGCTTCGCTGGGATAGAACATGTGAGATTGGATCAAAGAGGTCGCCTCCTGAAACAGAGGGATCTACAAATTGAAGACCCTAGCACCACTAGGCCTAAAGAAGGGTTCACATACACTTCATTACGACAATAGTGAACCCCCACACTAGTGCAGATACTACCGGATGCTTAGGAATTTAACTAATGAACAACATGAGTTGCCTAGAATAAGTTACTCGATGTGGTTTGAGTATTATATACCTTGTATAAATAAAATAAATGTAAATAGTTCACTACAACAAATAATTTTCCAACAGTCTTCTATCGAGAAAAAATAGAGCTTGTTAATATGTTACCTAAAGGAATCCTGTTAATCACTTTGTACACTTTTGTTTTTAAATATTGTATTTTAAGTATTTTAGTTACCCCCTATGAACCCATCTAGTCCTCTATTAGGTTAGACGAGAATTATCCTGTCTCATTTGGGAGGGTACTCGATCCAATTTGGAAATGTGTCCCTAACCAGATATATCAATCTAAATAGCTAACCTCTCTCCTTTGGGCAGTTTGAGTGTGTGGTGATTTTATATCTATATGATATGAGTCTATTTAAACATTTATGCTATCCCACGGGAGCATGGCTATATATACACTAGATATTTCATTCACTACATATCTGTTATATGATTCAATAGTGTTAGACAGAAAATGGAGGAACACAACTGCAGCATTAATAGGTAGTACTATACCTTGAGAGGTTTTATTTATCTCTTAAGGAATCAAGTTGAAGACAATTTATCTCTTACTTCCAGTTTTAGCATGAAGGAAAAAAGAAAAAATGTATGCAATTTCTCTTGTTTGCATTAAAAAGAAAAAATAATGAATCATGTCCTCACTTATACGAATTAGTATTTAGAATCAATTATAAGTATAGTTAATGAGTGGCACAGGGGAATTAATCATCCTTATATGCAAGATGTTGCAGTTTGTTAAACTTGATAAGTGGCAGAATTTGATTATCCTTATATGTAGGTTGCAGCAATAATTAAACTTGTGTGCACAATCGTAATTGGACTAATAGTGTCCTACTCTTGGTACTTCCCTGTGTAAATTATCCGATTCTGATACTTTATTTACTGCAACTTTCTTACCACTTTGAGAGAGTAGATATACATATTTTTTTATACAGTTATAATACTATGACTCATTTTTAAAAGTAACACTGAGATAGATTTTTACTTCTCTATATTATCCTCCTCCGTGGTGGTAAACCTACCCCCTTTTTTGAGACATTTAGTAGACATACCACTCAACATTTATCCTAGCATTTAATAAAGGATTCTCCCATATAAATTAGCATTGGCTTACATGTGAGGGTATTGTCTCTTAGATTCCCTTTGTATGTGTTGTTCACAGAATTAAGTTAGGTTTTATCTTGCGATTTCTTAATTTTAAATTATATGCTTATTCCTAAAGTTTACTCAATGCTTTTTGGTTCCTTCTCTTTGAAATATTTTTGTGTTTATAATTAGGGTTAGGCCCTTACAAGTTGGATTGTTCCCTATCAAGAGACCTTACCCTCTTTTTCTTTATCTTATTCCATCACATTGTCTACTTACTTTGAAATACGCTTTTAGATGAAGGGTCATTTCCTTCACTGAGCACTGCAACAGATCAATAGGCTGAGGTATGGCATATTGCCTCGTCTGGACACCATCCTCATTGTCTTGAATAGCAAGCAGCTCTTTTCTGTAGCATTTATCTTGGGCATAAACCATAGCCTCCATCATGAACTGAGTTTTAATCAAAGTATCTGCGATTGCTTCTTGTGATTGTCTTAGATTTTCAATACTGGTCTAAAAGAGGTAAAATGGGTACAGCACGCATTAATATAGAGGGTACCAGGTCAAATGGGACAGAGAAAATTTCACACAATTGTAGGGGTTGTGGTGCTTAAAGAATCACTTTTTATGTTCTGGTAATACATTCATAAAAACCATGGTCTGTTTCCTTTGCTGGGGATAGCTGGTGTACATGGCCATTCATTGGTAAAATAAGATATAAGAATTGTATCCTTCTAGAGTTCCCTGGTGCCATCCTTCCATTCAGCATGCAGCCATTTCTAATTTTGTAATGCTAAACGCATGCAGCCCTGAGCAGCAATATGTGGGTATGATTGGCAGAGAGTGTTAGCTGATCACTTTCAGCCTATTACAGTGCCCATTGCTGGTATGCTAGAAGGAAGTTTGCAATCTCCTTCAGTGGGGGGCTTGGCTGTGGATGGCCAGGAACCTTCATTCAAAGTTAAACTGCTCAAAAATAGTGTAACACTGAATGAAGGGACTGGACCAGAGGTCTTCAGGAACTATAACTAATTTAATGAGATGAAATGGGTATTTTTATCCCTCTCTGCTTTATATCAAATCCAGTCATTTTAACCCGTTAACACCATTAGGGCGTTCTATGCCATCCCCATTATAATAGCTTTAAATCCGTTATGGCGGCATAGAACACCCTGATGGCTTTGAGCCCCAGCGCCTGACGTGTACTCACCTCCACAGCGATCCGCTTCTGGGGGACTGCCTGACAGTATATCTGTGACTGTGTACTTGTGTGTCTGTGTATGTGTACCTGTTTTTAGTGTGCCATGTCAAACCATGGGAAACATTGTTTTGTGTTATTTACACCATATTATTCAACTTTCTGTATTGACCTCTGACACAAGCTGGTCCCAAATGCAAATATTGCCATCAGTTTTAGCTTTGTAAAGTTCTCGGTGTATAATTTTGGTAAAAATGGGTCACAAGGAAGCTGCTTCAATTATGTATTCATTATCAAGCTTGTATTTTCATTGATTTTAGAAAACTATCTTTTGAAATGTCTATCTAACTTTATCAGTGGACATCGGAATCTGCCAATGCAGTCTGTCCAAGCATGGCACAGGTTATCGTTATATTTTGAGAATGTTCCACTTGACACCTTTTAATCATTTTACATTTTCTGATCGATACACACTTATTTGAGACATGGTTGTTTGCACATATTTGTTCTGGAAACCCTTTTGCTCTTAGACACTCACATATTAAAGTGTTTTCATGTCAAATATTCTTTGTAGTCGATATAGATATGATTGGGAGTAAAGTAAATTATTGATTTCTGCCATTTAAATAGGTTTCACCATCAAAATCTCAATTTTCATGAGGCATTTCTGCTATTTTTTTTCAATGCCATGTAAATAAATATATTTGCTCATAATGTAGGCAAGTTCTGTGTAAGACTTCTGAGCAATATGGGTGGAAGTAAGAAACAACTTTAGCAAGCAGTGTCTTTTGTTAAAATAGAGAGGTTAAACCATTGAATCAGCACATGTTTTTTAGTGTGTAAGTGTTTATGTGTGTCAGTGTGTATGTGTATCTGTGTCTGTGTGTATGCGCACCTGTGTGTATCTGTATTTGTGTGTCAGTGTGTATGTATACCTGTGTTTGTGTACTTACCGGTATCTGTCAGTGTGTATGTATACCTATGTGTATCTGTATGTCATTGTGTATGTGTAGCTCTGTGTATGTATACCTGTGTATGTGTACTTGTGTATCTGTGTGTCAAAGTGTGTATGTGTATGTATATCTGTGTAAGTATGTATGTGCATACATCCCAGCAATCAAATACAACATGCAAACACACCCCTGTAAACAGAAACATTACATGCAAACACACCCCCGAATTCAAACTTCAAAATTATATACAAACACATCCAACACACAAAGGTACATCTGCATTTAAAAGACAAGACTATATCTAAACACATCCATGTATGTAAATGAAAACATTACATACAAACACATCCCTGTATTAAAACACTAAAGTGACATACAAAACTCTATGAACAAAACCACACCTGCATTAAGTGGTGTCACTGGGGGGTGGGGGGGGGGAGGGCAGAGGGGGCCATGCATCATGCAGTGCTCCCCCTTGTGCCCCTCCAATTGAAATTGAACCTGGGAGCACTGTGTCTCCCTTCACAAGCTGCAGCAGCAGCAGCTTGTCAGTTCCAACTTGCCTGATGAGCCCTCGGGACCTGGGGCAGTGCACAGAAGGCCAGAGAGGGCACTGTGCTGGGAGGACTTCCTGCTGGGTCACAAAGAGCAGCGCAGGGGAGAGACAGGAAGAGGGAGCTCAACTCTGCACAGAACAATCAGGCAGCTGCTGGTAAGTGTGAGTGTTTCAGTGTGTGTGTGGGGGAAGGGTCAGTCTGTGTGTGTGGGGGAAGGGTCAGTCTGTGTGTGTGTGTGGGGGGTTCAGTCTGCTTGTGTGTGTGGGGGTCAGTCTGCTGTGTGTGTGTGGGGGTTAGTATATGTGAGGGGGTCAGTCTGTGTGTGTTTTGGGGGTTAGTCTGTGTGTGGGGGGGGTCAGTCTGTGTGTGAGTGTTGTGTGTGTGTGTGGGTGTCAGTCTGTGTGTGTGTGTGTCTGTGTGTGGGGTCAGTCTGTGTGTGGGAGGGTGGGTGGGAGGGTAAGTCTGTGTGTGTGTATGGAGGGTCAGTCTGTGTGTGTGTGGGTGGGGTCAGTCTGTGTGTGGGAGGGTGAGTTTGTGTGTGTGTGGGGGTCAGTCTGTGTGTGTGTATGGAGGGGTCAGTCTGTGTGTGGAAGGGTGGGTGGGAGGGTAAGTCTGTGTGTGTGTATGGAGGGGTCAGTCTGTGTGTGGGAGGGTGGGTGGGAGGGTAAGTCTGTGTGTATAGGTCAGTCTGTGTATGTATAGGGTCAGTGAGTGTGTGTGTCAGTCTGTGTGTATGTATGGGGTCAGTCTGTGTGTATGTATGGGGTCAGTCTGTGTGTGTATGGGTCAGTCTGTGTGGGGGGGTCGGTCTGTGTATGTATGGGGTCAGTCTGTGTGGGGGAGGCTCAGTCTGTGCGTGTGTGTGTGTGTGTGTGTGTGTGTGTGTTGGTCAGTCAGTGTATGTATGGTTCAGTCTGTGAGGGGGGGGCTCAGTCTGTGTGTGTGTATAGTGTGTGTATTGGTCAGCCTGTGTGTGTATAGGTCAGTCTGTGTGGGTTTGTATGGGTCAGTCTGTGTATGTGTATGGGTCACTCTACAGCCCCTAGTTACACATAGTACACCATAAACAGACTCCTGTATACACACACTTCACTACAGCTCCTTCTAAACACCATAGAAAATTATCTTGCATCTCCTGAAAGGTTTTTCAGTTTACGTAAAAAGGTGTCCTGTCTGTAATAAGGAAGGGGCAGCGGTGGAACTACAGGCAATGCTGGTGCTGCGGTTACATCGGGACCTATCGAGTGGCCCGTGCACTTAGGGTCACCCCATGGGCATGTATCTTCAGGGGCCAAAAACAATTTTTGCACCAGGGCCCTCTCTATCTTAGTTCCGCCACTGTGCAGCAGCTTCCCCAGCATGTAAGCTTTTTTCCCACATGGAACTCCGCCCTCACTTTCTTGCAGAGGACCTTGCTGCAGAAAAAGGCCTGAAAATGGCCTCCCAGTTCTCTCACAGCCACAGACTCCAGTGCCAGGTAGGTTTCCAATACTTAGCATGACAGAGGGATCGTTTATGTGCCTGCTACTGAGTGAGCTTGTGTGTGTGTCAGTGAACTTGTCTGTACTGAACATGTGTGTTAGTGAGCTTGTCTGTAGTAAGCTTCTGTGTGTCAGTGAGCTTGTCTGTAGTAAGTGTGTGTGTGTGTATTAGTGAGCTTGTTCACTCCCCGCGGCGGCCAGCTTTAATGTTTTATGCGCATCTTAGCAAATGGCTGACAAATCCCAGGTGCCAGGGTGAAATTTGGCAACCTGGCGCTTGGAATTTGTCGAGCCCTGTGTGTGTGTGTGTGTGTGTGTGTGTGTATGTATATATATATATATATAGAGTGTAACTGTATAAGTCCAATAAAAAAGATATTACAAAATATGAATTTTATCTTTGTTTTACACACACATATATACACACACACACACATATACACACACACACATATATCCATAGGTTTTACAACTGCCCCTCTACTTTTGTCCCTGGCCCCTCCTGTGCCCCCTCCTAAATATGAATCCTGGAGACACCACTGCCTGCATTTAAAAGCCAACACTAATTATAAACACACACCCGTGCATTCAAATGCAAACATTACACACAAGTACACCATTGCTTTTCAATGGTAACAGTACATATATACAAGTGCACATGCACATACATGCAGGCAAGGTCCAGGGGGCCCAAGCATATGCTTGCCCAGGGTCCAATCAATAATAAAGAGGGCCCTCCACGTGGGACATGTGATCTCTCTCAAAGAGCGATCACATGGCAGGCATAGCTGTCTGCAGGGGGACTGCCTAAACTGACAGGCAGTCCTTGTGCTGGTCAAAAAGGAATAAAACAATGTTAATAAAGCAATCAGGGGTAAAACAAATATAGATATATATATATACCTGTTAATTGTTTATATTATATATATTTTAATAACAATAAAATAATAAATACATGAAATAAATAACTAAATACATGAAATAATAATTATTTTTTTATTTATTTTTAATTATATATATGCAATTCCATTCTAAAAGTATTTTAATATTATTATATATTGTTATCAAAATACACTTAGAATGATTTGAATACCCTGGGTTGCCTACTTTTACAAATGGTATGTCAAGATGGTTTGATTTTCATTCCTGGGCTACCATATGGTCTCAAAGGCAACATAGGCCCAGCAAACCAATGTGGCAAATTTCAATGGAAAAGGGGAAAGCCCTATATTTGACCCCTGTAAGTATCCATAAACTCATGAAACCTGTACGTGGGGGTACTCGTGAGACAAGGGGCGTGCCTGGAGCATTTGGCACCCAGGGCGGATCCTATATTTGGCACCCCCCCCCCCCAGCACTGTTTGTGTGTTTGAAAGTAAGCATTTTTTTGTATGAAGTATGTGTGAGTGAATGTACGGGTGTGTTTGCACGTATTGGCATTTGAATGCAGAAGTCGATTTTTCTGTAGTGTAGTTTATTGAATATGGTGGTGTTTTTTTTGTAGTGTTGACATTTGGATGCAGGGTTGTATTTGTGTGTAGTGTAGGCGAAATGCTGAGATGTATGCACATATACATACATGCATATACTTACATATACACACACTGGCACACATACACAGACACATAGGTACACACATACAGTTACATAGAAACAGTCATACACAGACAAACACTGGCACATACAGATAGACACACAGATACAAACACACATATAGATAAAAACACACACACATCCAGACACAGAGAGAGAGACACACAGGCACAGACACACATACAGATCGAGACACACACATACAGACACATTGATACAAACACAGACACACAAACAGATACACAGACACACAAACAGACACATACTGACACATACACATATACCAACACACATACAGATACACAGACACACATGTATAAGTGTGTGTCTGTGTGTGTTTGTATAGTGAATGTGTGTGCTTGTATAGTGGATAATGGTGAGAGGGGGATGGGTGGGTAATGGTGTGGGGGGATGAAGTGAGAGGGAGCTCAGGGAGGGGGGTGAGAGGGAGGGATGATTGTTAGAGGGAGGGGGTGATTGTGAGGAGGGAGAGGGGTGATTGTGAGGGGGTGATTGTGAGAGGGGGTGAGGGTGAGGGTGAGGGGGGGATGTGAGAGGGAGGGGGGTGATTGTGAGAGGGAGAGGGAAGAGGGAGAGGGGGGTGAGGGAGAGGGAGAGGTGGTGATTGTGAGAGAGGGGTGATTGTGAGAGGGAGAGGGGTGATGAGGAGAGGGAGGGGGCTGGTTATGGTGTGGGGGGTGAAGTGAGAGGGAGCTCAGGGAGGGGGGTGATGAGAGGGAGGGTAGGTGATTGTAAGAGGGAGGGGGAATGGGTGATGGTGTGGGGGGTGAAGTGAGAGGGAGCTCAGGGAGGGGGGGTGATGAGAGGGAGGGTGGGTGATTGTAAGAGGGAGGTGGAAAGGGTGATGGTGTGGGGGGTGAAGTGGGAGGGAGCTCAGGGAGGGGGGTGGGTGATGGTGTACAATCCAGGAAAACAAAATAAAATAGATAAACACAGACCCACCTTACAGACTCTGTAAAGATTCTGGAAATTCTCAAAGTGTTGCACACCAAGTTCTGTAAACATTTTTCCCACCACATCTAAATGAGAAAAACATTTGTAATACAAAATAAAGTTGCATCAAAACGCATTTAAATAAATGAACAGCCCAGCCTGGGTATGCCAGAAATGTTGTAAAATGCAATCAGGATTGTTCACTAACATGAGAATTGTCGGATATTCGTAGTGAATTTGAAATTTTAGACCAAAATAACCAAATCTGAAACATACGTCTTGCAGATTTTTTCCAAGTTCGCTATTTTGGTTTTAAATTTGAAATTCTCTTTAAATTCAATTTGAATTCCTGACAATTCTAACTTTAATAAAAAAAAAAAAAAAAAATCTGAATGTGTATTTAAATTACCTCTGTCTTCTGACCTCTCTCTTTTGATTGGCAACAGTGACTTAGTGGTGTATATTGTTAAATTATAGAAAAAAATATACAGTTTCACGGTTATTGACTAAACACCATTTTGTCCGAAGTTACTAAATCTGAAGACAATATAGGATTATGAATATCTCCAAAGCACCGATTTACAACAAAAAATTGTTACTGAATGAATCCATCAAAATGCAGATTGGCAAATTATCATTCACTTGCTTTTCACAAGTGAACATTGATTTGAATTTCTATTTGCTTACTGACAGCACAAGCAGCCAGTGGGCAAATAGTTAAACATACCTCAGTGGCATGACCATGTGGTGGCTGGTCAAAGCTTGCTAGCAAGCTGACATTATAAAAAAGTACAAACATTTTAAAATAATGCGACTATGGGGCACAATTGGACACTCATATTACGTTAATGGAGGTTGGAGAACTCCCTTATGCACCCCCACCTGTCATGCGGCAAGTGGGGTCATATCTACTAAACACAAAAACATTGTAACTGGGAAGCCATTGCTGTTTTGTCTCTAGAAAGGCCCCATCTCATGGGTGTACAGGATTTAAAATAACGGTGGGACCTGGTATTCCACCCACCTGTGAACAGCTAGAAAAGACGCTCAAGGAGCATTTTAGAATGAAATTTTACTCACCTTAATCCAGCGCTGGAATAAGCTCCCCAGCACTGCTCATGGCACCATCATCTGACTTCACAGAGAAGCCTTTGATTGGACCATTTCACCGGCCAAGGGAAAATGCTCGCACTCTGTGCCGGCAAGGGGAAGGGCAGGGAGGAAGTGAATGAAGGAGCTGGGAGGGCAGAATTAAAACAAAATAACTGTGGCGTGGATAGGGAGGTGGAGAGTGTTAAATTCAGTGTGGGAGCGAGGGCGGCAGACATGAGCTTCCCCAAGAAGCAGCTACATCTGTTGCCAGTGTGCAGTGCTCGCTGACAGCAGACATAATTTATGTACAGAATTGACATTAAAGGAACACTAAAGCGTTAGGAACACAAATATGTATTCTTAATGCTTTCGAGCCTCGTTCCATGGCGAAAATAGGGTTCATTACACTTGAGGTGACCTCTCCTTATCCACCTACGTCAGCTTCCCGAGTGGAGCCGAATGCGCATTCGCGGCCAGAGGCGCGAGCGCATTCAAACCCGCCCATAGGAAAGCATTACTCAATGCTTTCCTATGGGGATCTTTTTTGACACTGGACTCCGTGAGGACGTCCAGCGTCAAATAAGTGCGATTTACTCTGTGTAAATCACAGAAGCGGCATCTAGTGGCTGTTAGGGAGGCAGCCACTAGAGGCTTGATTAATCCTACAGTGCAAACATGTTTTCAGCTGCAGGGTTAAAACTAGGGGGACTTGGCACCCAGACCACTTAATTGAGCTGAAGTGGTCTGGGTGCCTATAGTGGTCCTTTAAATGCACAGAACAGGGTCCTTGGCTGCCTAATTCACGTGTGCTGGGAGTGCAACTTGCCCCAGCACGCAATCCAGTATATCTCTGGATGTGTGCATCCAGACTCCCACCACTATGACCACTTGAAAATGCAGAAGTAGTAATAGTGGTTGGAATAACCTGTTAACACAGTTTTACCTATATGTTTTATCATTCATTTCTAGTTTTGTGTATATTTATATACATTGTTTTTCACTGTATGGATTGGTGTGAAGCAGTTACTTTGCATTTAACATATTTGTTTTTGCAACGTTAAATATATAAAATATGAAGGGTGTCCATGCACTATAAATGGAGCATATCCCTTTCCCCTTACTCTACACCAGCACACAAGTGGTCAGTGGAATTCCATTTTAGACACTAGGTGCTAACTCCTGTCAGGCTTATAATATAGTAGTTTATAATCACGAATAATATGGACTTTATAATCACGAAGCCCATTAATTCCCCAGTTAAAATAGTATATGCTCATCTCTTAGCAGCATATCTGTGATCTGCGCAGGCTTCAATCTGGTCTGCTTGGAACTGACTGTGGTGACTGTGGTTAATTAGTATTAAGTTGAAACCCATATGGTTTAAACAGTTTGTTATGTATTTAAGACTTGGAGTTTTGTATTACCCTACCGGATGAGTGTGTCTATCTCAGCTCCATTTACCTCATGGGAGCTCTAACAGTTCAATGCATGTATCTAACTTAGCTTGATTTTTTTTTTTGGTCTCTACAATGAACTCACTAGTAAAAACAGATCAGTCGATAAGACTCACCAGTAACATTCTGTAGAGTTTCTCTGGCAGGTTCTTCCATTTTATCGATTTTATCTTTCACAATAGCCTCAAATGTTTTATAATTTACAAATCCTGGCAGTTCTCGTCCCCGATGCAATGTCTCAAATTCAGCAACTTCTTCATTTAGATCAGAATTAACTGAAAAAATTTAAAGTTTGCATATAATGTAGTTATTCAAATGAATACATATTGGAATTGATAATTGTGGTAATAAAATGATAACCTTGAAAGTCATTAAGGTTATTATTTTCTTTGGGAGGTAGGGGGGACAACATAGTTACATAGCTGAAAATAGACGTGCGTCCATCAAGTCCAGCCTTTCTCACATCTGTTTTTGCTGTTGATCCAAAAGAAGGCAAAACACCAGTCTGAAACATTTTTGCAACAAACTAGGAAAAAAATCCTTCTTGACTCCAGAATGGCAATCAGATTTCTCATTGGATCAAGAAGCTATAATTAAAAAATATATCCCTGCATATTATATTTTGGAAGTATTTATCCAGCTGATGTTTAAACATCTGTACAGACTCTGATAAAACCACTTCTTCAGGCAGTAAATTACCCGACCTTATTATTCTTACGGTAAAAAACTTTCCTTTTCCTTAGACTACATCTCCTTTCTTCCAGTCTAAATGCGTGACCTTTTGTCCCATATATATTGACCTGTTTATGCACCTATTTCAGACAATGGTTTGTATTAGCCCTGAATATATGCTATTATATCCCTTCTGAGGCTGTGTTTTTCTGAAATAAAGTTATTTATAACAGTAACAACAAAATTACAAGTACATTTTCCTGTCAGTCTCTTAAAGATACAACAATTCTATTTTCTACTGTAGTAAATGCCACTGTGTTTTAATATGGATTTTAGAAGTGACTTAACTCTAATGCAATTCAAGGTGTTCAGTGCTATCATATTCGTAAAGCCAGCCAAAACAGTATGCAATATAGACCTATATTTAAGCCAATACACTTTTTTAACAAAATACAATAAAGAGTCCTTAATATCTTTGGAGATTGTTTGCCATTTCAGGCTTCCCAAGCAGTCCTGCTTATAGTGCGAGCGTCTCTTATTTAGGATCCTGTTTCTCAATCCTGACTTTGTTCCCAAGTGTCCAACTTTTAGGGGCACCAGGAAAAAGTCACCTGAAAGCACAGTGAAAGTGCATCATTAGGCATGCTCGTGCTATGCACTGGTCACTAGGACCCTGCAGAGAGTGATGAAACAGTGGGCCAACCTAAGTGATGGGCAGGCAGTCTGCGAGTTTGAGACTGAGCTGCAAATTCTTGGGTGAACCCAACCTTTCGGGTTGGAAATTTGATGCAAATTGTATCACTGGCACACTCTCTCTTACCCCACTCGCTACAAGGGATGTAGGAATAATGCCATCCTGTCTTCCTTAAAAGTCTGAGTTCTGTTCTAAAAACTGTTGCAAACATGTAAAAGGTAAGGAGTCACTAATGGAATGTGCCTCCTTGTCCCTCTGGCTTCCATGGTGATTGTTCCACTTTTAGTACTTTAGACAATTTTTCAGAACATAGCACTTTGATTAAAAAAAGCCCCACTGTTTCATTTCTATTCTTCCCTTATGATGACTGCGAATTCAGGTGTAAAAGACAGAGCTTATAGCAATGGTTTTCAGGGAGTTTGTGAGTTGTCGATTTTGCTACGTATAATATGAGTTTTCACATCTCATAAACGCATTTTCATTAGATATAGGGATATGTTGACATAATATTAAAAATTCTGGAATATGACAGTTCCCCCTTTTATAGAATTACACAATTTGCCATACTGTCATGTGATCTTACATTCCTCAATGCTGTCATCAAGTTTGTTTTGCCAAGAGTTGAAATGTTCCCGAACTTTTGAAAAAAGTTTAGGGTTTTTTGCAGAAGTTATGAATTCCTCTCCTTGTGTGGCACGAGCAATACATTGGTTAAATAGTTGGATTTTCTGCAAAAAAATTGACATAAGACACAAGATTAAGGCAGGTAGAACTTTTAAATAAGTAATCACAAACTGAACCTCCAGATCCAGCAAATTTTCCAAGACATGTTCCAGTTCGATGGGCTACAGTTTATAGAGCATTTGTGTAATGAAGGAAGGGACTGACTGAAGGTCATTTGGGATTCCTTCTAATGATTGGTAGATTTGTTTTACCTTCCTTCAGCATATGAATTCTATATACATCAGTTCTCATGTACCATTCAACAGAATGTACAAATAAAACATGTCCAGGAAAATGTGATGGACTTGGAACCTTAAAGAGACACTCCAGGCACCCAGTCCACTTCTGCCCATTGGAGTGGTCTGGGTGCCAACTCCCACTACCCTTAACCCTGCAGCTGTAAATATTGCAGTCTTTATAAACTGCAATAATTACCTTGCAGGGTTAACTCCTCCTCTAGTGGCTGTCTACTAGACAGCCACTAGAGGGCACTTTCTGGTTCTCCAGTGTCGCTCAATTCCCCATAGAAAAGCATTGAGTGCATTAGGTCTCCCCCGCCGGCGGCTGCGCATGCTCGATCGGTCTCCCCCGCCGGATGACGTCTGCGGGGGAGGAGCGTGGGCGGAACCGAAACCACCACCGAGGGACATTGGCGGGGGTCTCAGTTAAGTCACTGAAGGGGTTTTCACCCTTTCAGCAACATGGGATGGGTGGTGGGAGGGAGAGGGTACCTTTAATGGGACACTCCACTGCCCAAATACAAAATAAATCAAATCACTTTTTTTTTTTGTAGATATACACCAAATGGAAACTTGCATCCATTTAATTATGCATTTTTCCATTGGGGTAAATCTAAAAACATCTTGAAAAACCTGCAAGTCTCTAGTCTGCAGCCTTTGCAAATCCTCCCCTTCTAATACCGCCCAGACTGTCTGTGGCTGTCCAATCCCAGACTTCCCAAAGCAGCTCAATGAAAAGTCTTTGCAAGGCAGGTGCTCTGGGCAATTGCTGCCACTTGAGTTTAGCTCCACTGAGCTAACCAAACCAGGAAGTAACAGGATCGGTTGTCTGTTTAAACCCAAGGGGTTGTTACCAGGCTAATTTAGAAAAGGGTCAGTTTCTATTAAATGTATTTTTTGTAAAATTTAAAAAAGAGGACACACTCTTCACACATAAAGCTTTTAAGTAAGCAAAAGTGCTTTAGGGGTCTGGAGTGTCCCTTTAATTATATTGGTTTCTATCACAACTCAATTCATAACATTTCCTCCTTTATTCATAACTTTGTAATTATTTTGAATTAAAGTTTGTGGCAGGAATATTGCTTCTGAATTACATATGAGTTGAACACATTCAGATTTTTTCATAGATTTCCCTGTGGTTAATCAGGAGGACTTTAATATCATGCATGAATGAAAAGCAAAATAAATAAATAACAAAATTAAAACAATTCAATCAACATTATAATTAAATCAGATTTTTGAAAATTCACACTATGGTGAATAAACCTGTATGTGTTTTGTAAATATTTAAATGTTTGACTATGTCTGGATAAACTTTTAAACAATGTAATATTATGAAAAATATGAAAAAAATGTAATACTGTGATATTTTTTATACATCTCTAGATTTTTTTATACATGCTATGATTTTTTTATAATTTAACAAGTTGAATAAATCATTTTAAAAGTTTAAAAAAATGCAATCATTTGGAAAGGTTATCTAACAATATTAAATCGCTCCCATGGTATGTCTGTGGGTGTTAAAGGACCACTATAGTCACCCAGACCACTTCAGCTTAATGAAGTGGTCTGGGTGCCAGGTCCATCTAGGGTTAACCTTGCCTGTTTCAGAGAAACTGCTATGCTTACATATGGGTTAATCCAGACTCTAGTGGCTGTCTCACTGACAGCCGCTAGAGACGCGTCCGCGCTTCTCACTGTGAAGACGCTGCCGTCCATAGGAAAGAATTAAGAATGCTTTCCTATGGACTGACTGAATGCATTCGGCGGAAGAGGGAAGAGGGAGGAGAGTCTCCAGCGCAGGTAAGCCTTCTTCCCCCTAGAGCCCGGCGGGAGGGGGCCATGAGGGTGGGGGGGACCTATTAACACTATAGTGCTAGGAAAACGAGTTTGTTTTCCTGGCACTATAGTGGTCCTTTAAAGTGTAGATGAAGTACGTTTTCACATTATTATTTATAAGTAGAATGCATTACTAAACCATTTGACTCATAGACAGGGCCGCCATCAGGGGGTGACAACCGTGACAGTTGTCACGGCCCCGGCGGCCCTGGGGGGCCCGGACTGCTCTGGCAGTCCTGGGCCCCACTTTGTTTCTCTGCACACATAGATAGCGAATTTCGCTATCTATGTGTGCAGCCGCGGGCCCCCGGCTCCCTGTTACCGCAGAGGGGGCCCAGGCAGCACAGGAGCAGCTTCTCCTCCTGTCTTCTCTCTTCTAATAACTCTCGCGAGACCCGGTTACCATAGCAACGCTCCGCGGGTCTCGCGAGAGTTATGAGAAGAGAGAAGGAGAAGCTGCTCCTGTGCTGCCTGGGCCCCCTCTGGTGGTAACAGATGGAAGCTCCCCCCTTCCCCCCTCCCTGGATACAGGTAAGCAGGGAGGGGGGAGAAACATTTAATTAAATTAATTAAAAATTTATATTAAAATGCCCCTTCCTCCCCCTCTCCCCCCAGATCACACATTTACACAACACACACAATACATACACTAACACAACACACACACTGCATACACTAACACAACACACACACACACTGCATACACTAACACAACACACACACACACTACATACACTAACACAACACACACACTGCATACACTAACACAACACACACTGCATACACTAACACACACACACACTGCATACACTAACACAACACACACATACACACACACAACACACACACTGCATACACTAACACAACACACACACTGCATACACTAACACACAACACACACACTGCATACACTAACACAACACACACACTGCATACACTAACACACAACACACACACTGCATACACTAACACACAACACACACACTCATACACTAACACAACACACACACACTGCATACACTAACACACAACACACACACTGCATACACTAACACAACACACACACTGCATACACTAACACAACACACACTACATACACTAACACAACACACTGCATACACTAACACAACACACACACTGCATACACTAACACAACACACACACTGCATACACTAATACAACATACACTCTGTATACACTACACACTAACACACTCACTGCATCCACTATACTGACACACACTCTGCATCCGCTACACACTAACACACTCTCTGCATTTACTACACTAACACATACTCTGCATCCGCTACACACTAACCCACTCTCTGCATTCACTACACATTAACACACTCTGCATTCACTACACTAACACACACTCTGCATCCGCTACACACTAACACACACTCTGCATCCGCTACACACTAACACACTATCTGCATTTACTACACTAACACATACTCTGCATCCGCTACACACTAACACACTCTCTGCATTCACTACACTAACTCACACACTCTGCATCCGCTACACACTAACACACTCTCTGCATTCACTACACTAACACACTCTCTGCATTCACTACACATTAACACATTCTGCATTCACTACACTAACACACACTCTGCATTCACTACACATTAACACACACTCTGCATTCAATACACATTAACACACACTCTGCATTCACTGCACTAACACACACACTACATTCATTACACTGACACACTCTGCATTCACTACACACTAACACACACTCTGCATTCACTAAACTATGCATACACTCTGGATTCACTATACTGACACACTCTGCATTCACTACACTAACATACACTCTGCATTAACTGTACACACAGCATCCACTACACAAACATCCTGTATTCACAGTACACACACTACATCCACCACACATTGAAACACTCTGCATTCACTATACACAGACACTGCGTCTAATACATGCACTACATCCACTACAGACACTGCACCCACTAAACACATTTCATCTAGTACATACAAACACTACATCCACTACACAAACACACACTACATCACTGTACACACAGTATATCCACTACTCAAACACACTCTGTGTTCACTATACACACTGCATCTGCTACACAAACACACACTCTGCATTCACTGTACAAACAGTATCTAATACACACAAACACTACATCCATTACACATATTCTAATTCACTTCCACTATACACACCACATTCAGTCCTGCATCATTGTCAGCGGACCAGGTAGGGCGTGGGCGGGCCCGGGAGTGAGGGGGGGCCCAGACCTTGTGCTTTGTCAGGGGCCCCAAAATTTCTGATGGCGGCCCTGCTCATAGAAGGAAAATAGAATTTGTTGTGAATTGCTGCTATAATTAATAAGATCCATAATTTCTTAATGTAAGGCATTTTATTGTTGATTTCAGAGTTTTTCCAATACTTTTTCCAACAGAAAAGTGTTCTGTTTCATTTCTCTATTTTCCACCACTCTGAATTTGCAATCTTTTGAAATGCTAATGTCTGTGAAATTCTGAGGAATTTAATATTTCAAAATCCTTTACTTTTAAGATCACTTATTGATAATTATGAGTTCTAAGTTAAAAGTGTAATCCAGATGTGAACTCTGTGCTCACTGTATCTAGAGCAGGCATAGGCAACCTTTGGCACTGCAGATGTTTTGCACTACACCTCCCATGAAGGTTTGCCAGCATTATGTGTGTAAGAGTATTATGGGGGATGTAGTCCAAAACATTTGCCGAAGGTTGCCGATCCCTGGTCAAGAGGAATATCAACTACACCTCGCTGACGAGGCCCAATGAAGGCCGAAACGATCACCTGACACCACGTCCATGACTTAATGATAGTACTGACCCTTCTCTTACCCTTTGCCCACTATAACAATAGTCTGTGATATAGCACTTTTTCCAAAGTGGTATATCATTTGTATTGCATGTTTTTTTATTTTATGTTTTTCTTAACAACTAAACAGCTTATTACTAGATGCTATTACCATTATAACAAATAAATTGTACTAATTTACCAGTCTTGCCTGTGTTTATCCTGCGAGGAGTGAAACCTGTGATAAGGAGAGTTTAACAAGTGCCAAGGGTGTATCAAGCAATGGGGTTAATGGATCCCATCATATTGACATTTAAGCTCATAGGCATCATCCCAGCCACTTTCAATGTAAATGTACAAAGATATATGTTAACCTGACGGCATGGTGATCACCAATCACTGACTCACCTCAACAAGGAAAGCCAGCTGCTCGCTTTCATCTTCCGGTACTCCTGTGCCACACGTTGCTAATTCATCCCTAGTAAGTTGAAGTTTGTTTTTTATTTGGTCCTCCAGGGTGGGAAGTGATTTCTGAAAGCAATTAAAAATAGATTATGCTTTAACCCTGTCACTATATGACCCTATATTTGTATAAGGGAGGTTGTGGACCTCCCTTTTGCCTCCTCAAGTCATATGGAAGATGGTGGCATATCTACCAAGTATTAGCAGATATGGGGATAGTAGATATGGAAAAGGGGCAAGTAAAATAATGGGTATGGGGGGCGGGGCCTGACCGCTGTGCGGAGTCAACGCAGGCTGCAAGAGCTCCTGTGATAAAAGGTGTTCTAAGCTGGGATTTTCCCCCAAAGACACTGAAACTGGTCATCCACGGGCTGGCAAATGACAAAGCAACCAACGACCTGCGCAACGATACCACACATGTGGATGCCCCACTTGAACTCGCCCGGTGGTACTATGAGGCCTACACTCACACGAGGCGCGGGGGAGATGGCCGCTCTCCCGCCGCCTATATACTCGAAAATTTAAAAAAGAGGACACACTCTTCACACATAAAGCTTTTAAGTAAGCAAAAGTGCTTTAGTGGTCTGGAGTGTCCCTTTAATTATATTGGTTTCTATCACTCAATTCATAATATTTCCTCCTTTATTCATAACCTTGTAATTATTTTGAGTTAAAGTTTGTGGCAGGAGTATTGCTTCTAAATTACATATGAGTTGATTACATTCAGATTTTTTCATAGATTTCCCTGTGGTTAATCAGGACTAATATCCTGCATGAATAAAAAGCAAAATAAATAAATAACAAAATTAAAGCAATTCAATCAAAATTATAATTAAATCATTAATTCACATGCCCACGTCCCCCCCTATGGACCGGTGGGGGTCATCCCGGTCCCAGGAGGGTACCCTCGGGAACTGGCCCTAAAATGGCGGTGACTGGCCCGGAGACACTCACTGCGACGCAAGAGACAGACAGCCTGAAGAGGCTGGATGCCTTATTCGAGGCCTTCTGGCACAAGCTGGAAGAAAGGCAGGCTACAGCAAAAACCCAGAGCGAGCACTCACTGAAGACGCAGCCCTTTCGCATTCGGTCCAGTGGTACAACAAGCCGAAAACTGCAAGCTGGAAAATGGCGCCAAAGACAGCGCAACACGCCATCGACACACAAACATCGGCGCCCACAACTGAAAGCTACCCAAAGCAGGTTGAAGCCAGCCTCATCCCAGCCTAAAACTAAGCCAAGCAAAAGAACCATGCAGCGCAAGCACCAATACCTGTGCAGGACCCAGCCGACGAGGACGAACAGACCTGGACGCTATACAGCATGCCTCTACGTCGGACACACACCGGGAAGCCTAGCATCAGGACTGGGACCTGTGGCGGCTGAGTTCCCGTGCGGTTCACAGGTCTGGACAGTAACCCCGGAAGGCATAGGCTGACAGGGGAGGCATTGGGGGACATTCTGGGACACAAAGCTTATGATCCACCACGTATTAATGCTTAATTCTGGTTCCCAGCTAAGCTACCCTAAACAAGAGAATGCAGTTTCATGTCACACTCTGACTATATTGATCGATCTATAGCACCTATATAATTGCCAGTTAATATATTATATGCTTCAGTAGTTTGCTACCTAAGGCATGCCTCTTATTATGTCTAATAATGTATCACTGTCATCTGACATCACTTAGAATCTCCTGTGCTTAGATTGCGCAGACCCAAACAGATTAGCTTGATATGATTTGCTGTGTATTCTACAACCTTTTAAAACGTATGGACGCAATACAGACTAAGATTTTTTGCTTGCTTAAAGGGATAGGCTTGAAATGCGCTCAGCCTCAGAAATGGCCAGTCTTCAGATGTTTTGCATGTACTACAAACAAACCTGTCTTATCACATTACCCCTTAACACCATAAGCATGTGTCACAAACTACCTTGTTATCCTTAGCTACTTGTTGTCTATGAACCAGCTTGTAATAATGGAAGTTCACGCTTACTCTCCATACTACCTATAGACATGTTAGACCTAGCATGTACCTTATACCACTTTTAAAAAAAAATGTGCTGTACAGTCGAATGCCTTGTATCTGTTATGCTATGTTTAGCTCTTTGACTTGTCACTGCTGTTGGGGCATTGCAAGAACAACTGTTACTCTTGTGCACATAAAAATAAAGAATTATAAAAAAAAAAAAAATAATGGGTATGGGGTTTTAAATGAAATAATAGTATTTGGACAGAGCACTATCGACCTCTATCCCCCACCCCAGCTTGCATTTCCTCACCTATCTTCCACCCATGGTTAGCAGATGGGAGGTACTTTTTAAACTGGGGGGACCTAATGCCCCACAAGCTTCCTCCAATGGGCGGCGGTTAGGAGCTACTTATTTTATACTGGTGGAATCTAGTGTCACCCCTACCCAGAGATGGGGGGTAGGGGCTATAATTATAATACAACGGGTTCCGAACTAGTGTCCTCACTCAGTCACCACCCATGGGTGGCTGCTGGGGGCTACTAACAAAATATACAATGGAGGTGGCATAACGTTGTAATTATTTTGAGTTAAAGTTTGTAGCAGGAGTATTGCTTCTGAATTACATATGAGTTGATCACATTCAGATGTAATGAATACCTGTAAAAAAAAAGTCATACTCCCAGACAAATATCTTCTTTCTTCTAAATCCTCTTTTCTTCAGCCCCCAAGAAAAGGGCAAAATAAGGTCCAAAATATCGTAATACAACTTTTAATATGAAAAAAAACAACAAATTGGCAAAAAACCTGATGTAAAAAAGAAAAAACAACTGAAAACAGATTCATCTTCACCCCTGCGAAGGTCCCATACCAAACGAGCTTCAAGGCGGAAAAAGCTTTTATAAGGCTTTACCACTCTTTCTCATGAAATCTCATTACAATGCTCTGACACTCTGACAGATAAGCAACTTTTCCGAAAACTTACGATAGGAATAATCCAGACAGCTGAAATTCCGGCTTATTCAGAGCCTTACAAAAAAACAACAAATGTGTAGCAGAAAGGAACTATGTGAAAACAAAAATCATTGCTGCTTATTTCCACCCCGAAATTAAACACTAGATTTCACAAATAGATAACACAAAAATCAGTGCTGTTACTCTCCACCATAAGATCAACCACTCATTTTAACAAATAGATGGACAGATAGTGGAACCGTAACACTCGAAATGAAGACTAAGAGATTCCGGGAGGACTAAGATGAATGGGAGACGGAGGAAGTCGTGATGCAACACGATTGAAGGGGCGTGTCATGGGTGATTTCCTGCCCAAAAATTTAACATTTCAAAATGGAGATTGAACTGTTCCAGAACTATAAACCTGAGGAAAGCATTCAAGCTGAAATGCATTGTGCGATTATTGGGACTGAAAGGACTTTACAGAGATGTAAGATTTGTATGTGTTTGTTGAATAAATTGCTGTATTTTATTCTAACTTGGTGCCCATTTTCATCTCATCCTGGGAGGATCCAGTACCAGAAGCTTGAGTCCAGTAATACCTTGATTCCGCATCTGCTGAGTTAGCTAGCAGAGCCAGTTATGTACAGGCTCATTAAAATGTGAGTAAGATGTAATAAAAGAATGATCATTTGGTTTATGTTATAGACAGTGTGTACAAATTATATTGCCCTATTTGAGTATTCTCTTTTACAGAGACATATGGGATAACGTCCATATAGTATATTTTCTTATTTATTTGCTCACTTATCCACTGTTAGATTGCTCACTACTGTGGCTATTATTTGTCTCACATATTTTTATCACACAAGTGCACTGTCCACCATTTTGTGCTGTGTGGTTATTCAGAGCCTTGTCTGCAATAACCGGACATTGTTAGATAGTGTGAACAATGTCCAAATGTTGCATTCTGATTGTCCACGTACAGCTTCGAATAATGTTGCCCCATTCTGTATGGAACCATTTCAAATTCAGCCTTTAATAAATAATCGTGCCTGACTGCATCCACCACACCCATTTCCTATCACTTTAATCAAAATAATAAATATTTCTTACCTATATCCAACTGATGTGTGAATATAAAGATGCGGTGAACTGATCAATAAATCAACTAACTAATTATATATTTTTTGTATCATTCCACCTACATTAATGTGTTCCACAAGTTCTGCCGTGAGTCGTTGAGCTAAAAGAGGAATGGTGGCCTTCTCTCCATCCAGAAGTTCACTGCAATGAACAGGATGAAAATTAAGTAATGAGTAAGAATAGGTCTTTAAAGAACACATGATAGGTAATCAAGTAGCATTGCAAGTCACTATAATGATATATTTATATTATATATTTGACACATACAATACATATTTATGTGTGTATATACACGCGGTACAAAAATGTTTTCAAACATTGAGAGGTTAATAGTCTGAGATAATATACAGAAGAACAAGGACTAACCTGAAATACTCGTGGTCTTCAAAGAAGGCTTTCTCCCTCTCAGTAGCCTCCTTTAATGACAGCCTCTCCTGAATCTCCTGTTGCCCTCTGCATTTTACGATCATATAGCCCTTCTTTAGGTGTATTACGTTGTTGTTGACAATGTTAACTATATTTTCTTCTGTACATTTGTCAATCAGATCAGGTTTGGTAAGAATGCCTGGATGGGAAGGAAGAGAGATAGAATCAGAAATAGAATTCTCACAAGGCTTTCCAAAGGACTGTATTTATAAGAGGACATTTAGTGTTAATAGGTCCACTTGTATAACCTTATTTATTTATTTGTAGCACATCAGTAAAATGAGACATTTCAGAGATACAATATATTTCTTGATGATTAATTCCCACTGCCCCCAATTGACACTAACTCTTCACATATCAATACCCCTATACTGACACTCTACACACTGGAGTTCTACCACCAAGCTCCACCACCTATCAAAACTTGTCACACCCACATTTCACATTCGTGCATTCACTGTGAATTATGAGTACAGTGGGTATTGACAACTACCTACCCTGCCTACCTGTGGGTTTATTAAATTGCCTTTTTTTGAATTCTGGAGTGCCTGGACCTCTCTGTATGTTTTTTCATACTGGTAAATCTGGTCATGAATATTAAGTTATGAATAAAATGACAAATATTAATTGACTTTTCATAACATCATAAACCAGTCACTAATATTATAGAGTAATGACACATTTAAGTCATTTTAAGTCCTGTGATCTCACACCATTCTGATATCATAAAATTAGATTATATATATAATCATACCCAGAGTTCTTTCACCATTAGGATCGATTTCCCTCGCCATTTCAAGTGCTTCCGTTGTCGCTATGTCCACATTGCATGGCACAACCACCAAGCAGATTGTTTCCTGCTTCTGAATATATTGTTTGATCAATCGTTTAATCTGTAAAATTATATAATCTTGTTAAAAAAAATAACTATGAAATGCTACCTTAACTCCTTTTATTCCAGAAGTTTGGTCCTTAAGGGGTTAAATTTCTTTATTCATACCTAAAACTACATATTCAGATAAAGAAATGTACGCCTTCCATTGCTATAACTGGGTGATATACCTGCACTCATAAAGACACTGGATTTAATTTTATAATATAATTCATTATTGCTATTATTATATATAAAACGCCATCAAACTGTATAATAGGTCGACTAATATAGAATCATTTGTAACAAGACGAGTTAGACGCACATTGACCTGCTCAAACGTGCTTACATTCTAGAGGGAGTCGGGTAAAGTGGCACAAGAGGTAAGGGTAGGATGCATTTCATGTATAGGAAAATATAGGCTGCTAGAACAGTTTGCAATAAAGAGTTAGTTTTTTTTTGGATGACACAGTTGCAGGAGAGGAAGCAGGGTTAGTTACCAAATAATAGGAAAGCTATTAACAGTTATTTGGTATGCTTTCCTAAATAATAGACATGTGCAATTCGTTTCGGGCCGAATATGTATTCTGATGAATTTCGGGCAATTCGGACATTCGGGTACTTCCGAATTGCCGAATTACCGAGGTCCCGAAGTTCCGAAGCACAGTTTTGCCTAAGTACTAATATACTTACCCAGTGGAAGAAGAATAATGTTACACTGTATACAATTTTAAATAAAAAGTATACAAACATAGCCTGGATTCAGCTGTAAGCATTTGTAACAATCAAGTAGCATACATTCATATAAAATGTAAGTTACTTGGCCTGTCATGTAATGACAGGAATGAATAAGTAGATAATTCTCTAATTCCCACGGTATTAGGGAGCTATCTACTAAAAGGCCGAAAGACCTAAATTGGTCTTTCAGCCAAATGTATTAATACTAAGTAAACATTACTTAGTATTAGTAAATTATGCCCCTACTCGCTATACCGCGAGTAGGGGCATGTCTATTAAACAGTGAGCAGCCTGTGGCTGCTCACTGTAAAAAAAAAAGTCCCCCTCCTAACCTGAAGGGGGGAACTATTGCCCCCCCGGCCCCCACCACTGTACGGCGGGTGGGGGCCCTAAAGTAAAATAAGGGGGGGACCTATTGTCCTCCCCCTGGCCCCCACCCCTGAGCGGCGGGTGGGGGCCCTAAATCAGAATAGGGAAGGGACCTAATGTCCCCCCCTGGCCCCCACCCCTGAGCGGTGGGTGGGGGCCCTAAATACTAATTAGGGGGGGGACCTAATGTCCTACCCCCTGGCCCCCACCCCTGAGCGGTGGGTGTGGTCCCTAAATTAGAATGAGGGGGGAGGACCTAATGTCCTCCCCCCTGGCTCCCACCCCTGAGCGGTGGGTGGGGGCCCTAAATACTAAATACCCACCCCTACATAAAAAAATAATCCCCCCTCCTGCAGGTGACTAGGGGTCCCAAAACCCCTAGTCACCCCCCTCCCCCAAAAAATTAACCCCTACCTACCCCCTTCACCCTAAAAATAATGAGGGGGGACCATATAACTAAGTACCTGTAAAAAAATAAACTTACCATTTGATGTTTTCTTTCTTCTAAAATCTTCTTTTTTCGGCCTCAAAAAAGGCCAAATAAAAAGCCATAATAACCGACGCAATAAAAAAAAAAAACGAGCGCAAAAAAAAAATCCATCTTCACCCATGGAGGGCTCCGTTCAGACTGAGCTCTGCAGGGCGGGGGAAGGCCTATAAAGCCTTGCCCGCCCTGCAATTAGGCTCAGAGCACTCTGCTTGGTGGGTTTAAGCCATCCAATCAGAGTGCTCTGACAGGTAAATGAAGAGACTGACAGGTAAGTGTCTACATTTACCTGTCACAGCACTCTGATTGGTTGGTTTGAAATCCACCAATCAGAGTGCTCTGTGCCATTTTACACAGAGTGAGAAAGTTCTTTGGAATTTTCCCATGCTGTGTAATTTGACTCATAACTCTCTGATTGGTTATGAGGGGGGGGGGGACCTAATGTCCTCCCCCCTCATTCTAATTTAGGGCCCCCACCCACCGCTCAGGGGTGGGGGCCAAGGGGGAAGACATTATATGTCCTCCCCCCTCATTCTAATTTAGGGCCCCCACCCACCGCTCAGGGGTGGGGACCAGGGGAGAGGACATTAGGTCCCCCCTCTAATTAGTATTTAGGGCCTCCACCCACCACTCAGGGGTCGGGGCCAAGGGGGAGGACATTAGGTACTCCCCCCCTCATTCTAATTTAGGGCCTCCACCCACTGCTCAGGGGTGGGGATCAGGGGGGAGGACATTAGGTGCCCCCCCTCATTCTAATTTAGGGGCCCCACCCACCGCTCAGGGGGGAGGACATTAGGTCTCCCCCCCTAATTAGTATTTAGGGCCCCCACCCACCACTCAGGGGTGGGGACCAGGGGGAGGACAATAGGTCCCCCCCCCATTATTTTACTTTAGGGCCCCCACCTGCCGCTCAGGGGTGGGGGCCAGGGGGGCAATAGGTCGCCCCCTTATTCTAATTTAGGGCCCCCAGCTCGGGGGGGGGGACCCTTTTAAAAAAATAAATAAAATTTTAACAGTGAGCAGCCACAGGTCTTTCAGCCTTTTGGTAGATAACTCCCTAAATACCGTGGGAATTAGGGAGTTATCTACCAAGCGGCTGCAAGACAAGTTCCGAAGTGCCGAAGTTGCAGAAGTGCCGAAGTTCCGAAGTGTTGAAGTGCCGAAGTTACCAAAATTCCGAAGTGGCGAAGTTCCGAAGTTGCAGAAGTGCCGAAGTTGCCAAAGTGTCGAAGTGCCGAATTGCCGAAGTCCCGAATTTCGGAATGCCGAACCGAACCGAAAAATGTTCCCATGCACATGCCTACTAAATAATTGAGTTTTCAATGATTTTTTTTAAGAAATGGAGACTCGGTGAGAGTCTAATGGAGCAGTGAAGGGAGTTCCATTGGAACGGCACAGCCCTAGAGAAGTCTTGAAGGTGATATATATGTATAAACATACTCGCTTCCTGAACAAAAAAACTGCCCTTATAACAGTTTAAGCATAGTGTTTGTTTTAGGACTCATAATATGTTGTATTGTACTGTATGTGTCCACAGTGCTTCTCTATAAGAGCCATTTATTTGGTCACTGCCAACATGGGGGTTTCTGCTGGGCAAAATTGAAGGTGTCAGCTCAGCTATAGATGCAAGTAGAGCAGCTAATAAAATATAAGATTTTAAGCAATAAGGAGGGAGTTTTTTATAAAAACGAATACATGCATATTTTTAACTGCATTGCATGTAACCTAGACATGGTCTTTAAATACGAAATCTAAAAAATGTTGCAAAACATACTCACTTCTTTAATATTTCCATTCTTAAACTTTAATGTTGTAGCAAGTTGAAGGAGAACTGTGTTTTAAACACACTATTAGCTGCCATATCTTTGTTGCAGCCATGGTTAAAATAACTTAAACTCTGTAGGTAATCCAAAATCTGTCTACTTGGAGCAATAGGGAACGAGAGTTGAATGCCATAGTTAATTCTAAATGTTTTTTGAACTTTGTTACTCTACACAGTCATTACACACTGTGATAAACTACTGCAATAAAAAATAGGCCCTATTTGTATGAAAACTATACAGGGTCAGTCAAAGTCGCATTGGGCATTGGGGTGCATTGTGGTTCCATGGGCTTGTGGGGAGACCTCTCATCATTATAGTGACATTGCATTCAATTTCTGCCTAATTAGCAAACACTAGGTTGTGGCATCACTACCCACCTCGGGCATCTATTCATGCAAAGTGCAGAACCACTAGAATTTACCTGAACCCTCTAGAGTTATACATTTCATGCTTCACACGGACTACCAGGGATCATGCTCACTATCTTCATTAAAACGTTTTTTTAAGGTTGGTTAATTGTTTCATAACTGCAGTCCAACTATATATGACGTTCTGCTTTTACTTCCTTTACAATGTAAAGGGAACCTCCCAACACCAAAACCACGTGTTCTTAGTGAATTAGTTTTGGTGCATAGATGCTGTTTTGTGGACAATATATAACATTGTTGTATCAGAGTTAATGTAATGTTTACATTTGTCTAATACCATTCCTCTAGAAGCTGTCTGATGACCACTAGAGGCTTTCCCTGCTTGAAGATCTTCGAAGAAGAATCGAAGGTCAGTAAACCCAACAAGATGACACCAAATACAGTTTATTCTTCAAATAAAGAAGCATGTGGACAAAGAGAGCAACTGAATCAATTATGGTCCTCAGCTAATCCAACACTTCTCATGGAGAAGCACTGGATTAGCAAAGTGCAGCGATTGTTCCCACTGCTTTCTCTGCCCCCAGTGTCTCATCATTACTGATAACTTCCGTGGAGATGGAACAAATTAAGTGGCCGTTGATATTTTTAAAATGCCTTGATTCTTTTTTTTTGTTATGAAAATCAGCAAAACAACCTCTGTTTCAGAACATGTTTTCACCTTGTCTCCAATGTCTTTAGGTTGACCGCCCACAGCAACTCTCGCAATTCCGGGTAAGTCGATGAGTGTTAGATCTGGAACATCTGGTGATCTCACCTCTAAACTAATTGAGTCAGAACTGATCCCATTTCCTGAGCCAGCCATTGCATCCTGAGCTAGAGACAATAAAAAAACAATATGTTATCATACTTATCAAGATCCAAGGAGCTTATAAAATTATAATGTAAAATGCTTGATATCAGGTATAGATTTCCGAATTCCAAAACAAAACCAAAAATAGCAATTGAGACAATCTTACCAAATATTGTTAAATTAAGTTATAGCTGACATTACTTACCTTTCATTATTTCTTTCTCAACTTCTGAAGGACTTTGCAGCTCCTGGTTTATTGTTAAATAGCTGATTTTTCCGCTCCATTCTGAATCAGTCTTTCCTTTACAAAGTTTAAGTTCCAATGGGCATCTAGTCACAATCCCTAGACAGTATGACAAAAGCAGACATATCAGTAAATACATATCAGAGATCACTTGTAGGTTTTTCTAAGCATTAAATTAGCAGTTATTTGACTATTCATCTTTCCTTCTCTTCGATCATTGTATTTGGATACATTCTTTAAGTGTTATTTGTTGGTGTGGTGCATGTTACATAATACAAAACACTCAAATACAGTACCATGTATGCCTGGAATCTATATTGATTTACTATTCAAAGTGATTATTATGTTTCCTCAAAGGCTTCAACAAAAGTTTATAATGGTCAAATAATAAGCACATTATTAAAAACAATGACCCATATTGCCTAGTTCAGTATTACAGTTTCCAATGTAAAACTTGGACTGTTTTTTTGTCGGATATCATTGTCGCACTTCACCTCAATTACTAAGTTTATTTTCTACTTTGATGGCATAGCAGCAACGGCTGAGAAGATCTAAAAAAAGTATAATAAATAAATTTTAATCTCTGTAGGGTCACATCACACATGGACATTAAAGGGGAAATCTTACTTAGACCTTATTGAGTTCAATGATAAATATCTGTGGAACGTGCTGGTTCTAAATTACTGATGCTTACTAGACATGTGCCATTGTATTCTTGAGAATGACCGAACATTTCTGCCACTGACCAACCCAGGCCAGGTTATAACACTGGCACAACAGATCACTGTCCACCCCCTTTGTCCACACCAATGGCAATTGGATAGGGTTATTAATCAATCCTAATGTCACCCCTGCTCCCAGTAAGGTCAGCAGGTAAGTGTTACGTAATATTAAATCTAATTGTCCCCCTAGGCCCCACCCATAGGCATTAATATGTCCTTTAAAAAAAAAAAAAAAAGATTGCTCCCTAGTGATCTGTCCACCTACCATTATTCAATTAGCTGCGATCCTGAGAGAGGACACCCAAACATTCAATAAGTAGCAGCACCGTCCACTGACCATGGGTGGGGGTAGGGAGGACATTATGCTGCCCCCTCATGTTTATGCTCACAGGTGAGACTATGTACCCCATTTCTTATTACTATGGAATAAAGCGTTTCAAGCACCTGGGCAGCAATGGTATATTTTTTATATTTTTCCAATGAAGTCACAGCAGTTCTATATATGAATACATGAATATATTTGTACAAGTATATATTGACATAAATTTAATAAGTTATTTATACATGATTTAGGATACTCACCGCTGCCTCTTGGCAAACTGACTCCAGAAAGGGCTTCCAAAACTGAGCTTTTTCCTGAGCTCTGGTCCCCAATCACAGCGATTGCTGGCAAAGCCAGGTCCTTCTCCACCCCAAGAGCTCTCAGCGAGTCAATGAGGTCAATACAAGGCCGGATCTTCTCCTCGTATGTTTCATTCAAGTAGTTTGACATCTGTTTGAATCAAAATAATGTTAGTTTCCAGGCTGCCTGGTACCTTCCTCTATTATGTTCTGTATGCTTCACCTTAATGTGCAAATTACATTTTTTTGACGAAGAAGAGAAATAGAAATATTATTTCATTCCTCCTCTCTGTATGCTTTCTCTGTGCTGACTGCCAGGTGCAAAAGATGGAGCTTATAACAATGATGGACAGGGAGCTAAGATGGAGGTACCGAGTTGCAGTATAAATTCATATTTAGATAAGTAAACATATTACTAAATATCCTGGAAAGTGGCAGTAAGCACAATTTCCAAGAAAACAATTACAATTGGATTATTGTTAATTATAAAAATATTAAATATCGTTCAATTATAACAAAGATCATCGTATATGCTGTCCTTCAAATCTTCACATGAATGTAACACTTGATGAACTTTCAATTCACAGTATCCTCTTACGCATTCATCAGCTCCCATAGTAATTAGTCAGTCCTATTCCGGGAATTGATTGGTATTTTTCCCTTTTTTCTGAACAATTTGACCTCAAGTGTGATGTGTGCATCTCATTTTCAGCACCAATGTTTTGGTCAGTGGTAAGTGATGTTCCAAAAAGCAAATATTTTTGAGACAAGTCTATAAATGAGCCGTTACTCGAGTAAATCATTAAATATACTTAGGAAGGAGATCTTCGAGACTTGTTTATTTCCAATGCATACCTACCATTTTAGTGGCCATTTTCTCTTATTGGCAGACTCAAACTGCTTTTCTACTGTCTGGAGTAGCTGAAGGATTGGGGCGTGAGTCTCTGAAGCTCAACAGACCTATATGGTGTCAAGGACAAAAAGGGCTCAATCTTAAATACTGTCCACCTGTATCAAGGTACCTGTAAGTAGAAACTATCAAAATGAGCTGTATAAAAATATTAAATGTAATATAGTCCATCATGGAGATGATGTTCTAATCAGAGAAGCAGTACATGTGAATGAAAGCAAACAGGAGAATCACCATAACCACTCTGGAGAATGCTGGCACTATAACCTCAACAGCATTTTTGTTCTTGGAGTGTTCATTTTAAGACTGTCTTGTCAGAAAGGGACAGCAGAGGGCAGTAAAACGATGAAGGGAAGAATCAATGTTAAGATAGTGAACAAGCTTAAAAGGAGGAGTTGTGGGAAGACTATTGAGGAGCAGCACGCAATTATAAATATGAAGGGAGAAACAAGTAAATACATTTTGGGACATAAACAATGTATGGAAGGAAAGAAAGCATTGATAACATAAGGATGAAGGAGGGAAGAAGGAATTCTTGTGTGGAGTGAAGAGAGAGAGATAAAGCAGTAAAATGAGTGGAAATAGATAAAGGACAGATTTTTAATGTCTCCGAATGAATGGGTAGATTCTTACCGTCTCAGCTTGAATAGGTAGAGAGTCTCAGGGTCCTGGGATGAATAGACAGATTCTCGCTGCTCTAGAGTGAATAAGCAGCAGGGTTACAAATTGCAAATGGAATAACAGGAAATATTAATAGAGTATATGAAAAATTCCAGAGAACACGTCCATTCACCTTTTGGACTAAAACGTCTCTAGTTCTCAGATTAAAATTTTGAGATGGACTGTTTCGGTGTGGACATCAGTTCCAGTTATGTAGATTTCCTGAGTATGGTCATATAATCAGAATGGGATCCTTCTAATGCTACATAACCAGATACATATAACCCAAACCCCAAGACCTCATCAATAAACTCCTAAAAAAATATATAACACGATACAATAAATCTTGTAACCCATACAATTATAAAATGGGCACACAAAAATTTTTTTGCTATTTTATTTGAACTAAAAAGGCAGAACCCAGCCAGATAAATAGTTAAATACAAACAGACAAATCAGAAATGACTGACAAAAAATAATTGTTCATAAGATGCCATTCAGTTCCATGACTCTTACCTTGCTTAGTGTGAATACTTGTCTCTGATGCTCGCCCCAAACAAACTGGATTTATAAAGGTGCAGGGGAAGGATAAAAGCAGAGAGATCTTTCATTTCTGTAGCATCAGCCAGGGAAATGAAACCGAAACTAAGCATGTCATGAATCAGGATGCTAAAAGCAGCAGCAGTGACAAACCAACAATACAGACATTTAACTCCATGTATACTGTATGGAACATATAACACTGAACTCTAACCAGACAGAATTTTTATTAAAAACATTTATTTAACACTATTAGCATTTTCTTATCCATTATTTTAACACAATATGAAAAAGTCTAAAAACCTTCTGTTTCTAATCCATTCTATCCATCTAGAAGATTGTAAATTCCCACTGGCACAGGGACCAAACTCCTGTATTTTTTTAAACCATTTTTTGTATTGTCTATATTGTACTGTGTATTTTTACTTGTATCGATTATACACATGTATAGCTCTGCGGAATATGATGGAGTTTTACAATAATAAGATATAAGAAATAATCATTGTAGATTATGCTAACGGAGTGTACTTATAATCTTCATTTTAATAATGACAGAAGGTGAGTATTTTTCATTAACTTTCGTAACTTTAAGTTTAATTAAACTCCAGCAGCACAATCATAAAAATCAACAAAACTAAAAAAAATGCAAGTTATGCAAATTTATTATACACCTGACAGAAGCAATGTCAACAACAACCATCCATCAAGCAGGCAAGTATAAAACAACATAGAAAATCGTATCAAACACAATAATGTGACAGAGAGGGTGGGACAAAGATGGGAGGGAATATAACCACCTCCTGTCATTACTAAAATTAAAATTATAAGTACGCTCCGTTAGCATAATTCTAATTCTACCACATGACAGGAGGCTTCATATTTTGCATTTTTAACGCTAAGAAGGTAAAGTGAAAGAAACACGAGAAAAAGGATGAAAGTAAAAGGCTTAAAAGGTATCTTCGCGAAACCAATCCACGGAACGCATGATACCAGCAAGAGACGCACCCATCGAGAAAGTCTAAAATGCAGCAGTGACACCAGGGCAACCGTTAGGCAAACTAGGCATTCTATTTCTGGTGGGCTGTCAGTAAGACTGTTTGTCTTGTGGGGGGGCACTGAGAGGGGCCAGGAGGTAGCTATCTGGCCACCTCAGGGCGCCCCTGAAGCTGTGCTAGGTATGGCAGAGCAAGCACCTGCTTAGCTTGATGGCAGGTGTCTGCTCTGCCAGAAAATGCCAGTGACCAGAGGAGCCAGGAGAAGGCAGGCGGAAAGGGAGGCTCTTCTTGCAGCTTCTCACTCCTCCCTCGCTCGCCGTCTGTGATGCTGGGAGCTGGAATATGACATCATTCCAGCCCCGGCATACTAAACAGTGCGCTGGAGGAGTGAGGAGCCGCCCCACACTGGACCCCAGGGAGGTAGGGAGGCTGGATTTGCCTCAAAAAAATTAAATTGTGTGAGTATGTGTCAGTAAGTGTTTGACTGTCAGTGAGTGCATGTCTGTCAGTAAGTGTCTATGTGTGAGTGTATGTCTGTCAGTGAGTTTCTGTGTGTCTGTCAGTGAGTTTCTGTGTGTGTCTGCCACTGTGTGTCTGTCAGTGAGTAAGTAACATGATGGTGTGGTGGAATCTCGGTAAAAATAAATTTAGTAGGCCGAGATTACCACGTGGTATGTGTACGTGCATATGCTGACGTATCGATCAGTTGGTTGCACGAGGCAAGATACGATCAGTAGTGTACGGAGCATGTGCAAGAATACAGGATGTAGTATTCCCCTCCTCCATTGTGCTGGACAAGCCATGTGGTCAAGCAGGAAGTTAATTCTTATTTGTAATGATTGGTCAAGAGAATGTGCGGGTGGAGCTTAATATGGGAGGAGTTATGTGCCTATATAGGGAGCCTGCACTATTGTTCAGGGCTCAGAACTTGCTGTATTTTTGGTGACATTAGTCCCTCTGAGTCCCGATCGGTGATCCAATAAAGAATCTCTTCCTTCCTGAAGAAACCTGTGTCCATCCCTCTGTGCTTTGCTTCCGTCAGTTTCTCCGGTATCATTTGGTGCATTGGCCGGGAAGCTCATCGTTCAACGGTAGCTGAGAGGCAGAGGCGTGAGACGGTCTATCTTTGCCCACGTTCTCTACGGCTGCACCCCTGAACTTCTGCGTGGACCTCCCTTCGTCTCGGCGCCACTGGTCTGTTGTCCAGGAGATCATCGGCCTCTACGTAAGAAGTGCTGGGGTGTCCCCGTCGATGAGTGTGAACTCAGGTTCAGGAGCGAGGAGGTAAGACAACTGCTGTTTTAGACGGCAGACCCACTAGGGGTATACCGATTGTGCGGTAGGCCCAAAAGGGGTTTAAATCTGTGTATGGAATCTGCCCCCTCTGTCGGAGGGAAGGAGCGAAGGCGCACCGCTCGATCGAACGCTCTTTAGTAAGACCGTTTGATCTGGTTAGTCAGGCGGGGTCCTGTGTAAATAGCCCTAGCCGGACACCGGTGTCTTGTCTAGACTAGCGTTCTAGGGTGTATATTACGTTCGCTAGGTCGGAGGGACCGGGAGACTAAGCGGCGCCTGTGTAAATTCGGTTCGCTAGCTCTCAACCTATCTTGGCTAAGTGGGAAGGCGTGTAAATTTGGAACCCACTAGACTTTTGATAGAGTAAATAGACTAGAAGGGCAATTTTGTAAATTTCGCCCTCTAGTTCGCTATATGTGGTGTTTGGGCAGTGTGGCTAACCAAAACGGGTGTATATAGTTTTAGGTAGTCCATTCAAGGTACTGGCCAATAGTTTAGTTGGGATTGTAAATGTGTTAAAGATTGTTAGTAAAGTGTATATCTTGTTAGATAGCGCGAGCTCAGCCGTCTAGCGAGAGTGTTAATAGTGTGTTGCTGTATCATAGTGCACGGTACCATAACCCTGTATATTTACTGACACTGTATATAAGTACTAATCATTGTCGTCTATTGCATGTTTAACACCGTAACCACTAATAATTGTATTGTGACCTTAAATTGTGCTTTGACCTATGCTAACCGTACTGTAACCGATACTAGTAAAAGACGATGTTACTGGGGTGTGTTATAGACGGGTAATTCATATATAGAGAATTATAGCGTGGGTGACTGTATAGTTTCGCCAAAGGGCATAATATTGATTATTTAGTGACTGGTGTAACAGCTGTGTGTGTACGGGAATTCCCTGAGTGATTATTGTGTTATTGTGTACGTTTCACTTGGTAACTGTACCACGTGGTGCTGTTACCAGAGGAAACGGGTGTGACTGTTGAATAAGAACGCGTGCATAGTATTTGTTGTCAACGACGTTCCATTGATAAGTATGGGCGCGTCAGAGTCAACGATTTCGGATCCCTTAGGTTGTATGGTAAAGAATTTTAAAAAGGGATTCAAAACATGTGATTTTGGGGGTTAAAATGTCTCCTGTACGTTTGGTCACTTTGTGCACTAGGGAGTGGCCTATTTTGGTTGCGGCATGGCCGCCGCGTGGCAGTTTGGATCCAACCCTGGTACAGCGTGTACACGTGGCTGTATCAGGTAGGCCTGAACTTTACGGACAGTTTCCATACATTGATTGTTGGGGGCAGGCCGTAAACGACTCGCCAAAATGGATCCGGATATGCCACGAGGAGCAATGTCGCCTCATGGTGGCCAGGACTTGTTTGTCCACTAGGACTGGTGTTAGGCCCATTTTGGACACGCCCCCTGAGTCCGAGATCCCTTTGCCGCCCCCTTACTTTCCTTTAAGAGGAAGTGACGCGAATGCAGGAAGCTCTGCACCCCTTCCCCTATTGCCCCCATCCACTTCCGCTTCCTCCTCCAGTACAGAATCCACCCCCCCTCGTATTAAAACTCCCCTTCCGGAACCAGGACCAACCCCCATTAGATCTGAATATCCTGATTTGGCGCCACTTCAAACTTCCGGTCAAGCTTCTTCTAGCTCGGCTCGGAGTATACTATTCACTAACTTTTCCCAAAATCAAGTTCCCACATCCTCATGCCCTATTACCTCTCGACCGGAACCTTTAACTGACGCCCCTCCACGTAGCCCCATACTAACCCGACAACTGACCGGTACCCAACAATTAAAACATTATCAGATGCCTCTTCGTCTGAATCCTGGGTCAGCCTATATCGATGCCGCAGGTCAAATGGCACATGCTGACCCAGTCTTCGTATATGTCCCGTTCACGACTACCGATCTCTTGAATTGGAAGACCCACAATTCCTCGTACACTGAGAAACCACAAGCTATGACCGATCTGTTCACCTCGATAGTTCAGACACATAACCCGACATGGGCTGATTGCCAGCAGTTATTAATGACATTGTTCAATAATGAGGAAAGGACAAGGATTAACCAAGCGGCCATTAAAGCGCTAGAGGAGAGAGCCCGTGCTTTAAATCAAGCCAATCCGGCAGCATGGGCCGCAACACATTACCCTAACACCGATCCTGACTGGAATGTAAATGGCGCAGATATGGCTCAACTTAAAGCCTATAGAGATGCTATAATTGCTGGCATGAAAGCCGGAGGGAAGAAAGCTATTAACATGTCGAAGACAGTTGAGGTGATTCAGAAAAGTGATGAAGCGCCCAGTGTCTTTTATGACCGATTATTGGAGGCATACCGCTTGTATACCCCCTTTAATCCGGAAGACGCTGATAATTCCCGAATGGTAAACTCCGCCTTTGTCAGCCAAGCTTACGGAGATATTAAGCGCAAGCTACAGAAATTAGAAGGGTTTGCAGGTATGTCTATCACCCAACTAATGGAGGTAGCGAACAAAGTATATATGAATAGGGAAACAGAAAGTAAGAAAGAGGAAGAGCGCAAGATGCGTAGAAAGGCAGATATGCTAGCGGTAGCGATCGCAGGCGTAGATAGACGGGGCCCAGATAGAAGCGATGGTAGATGGAATAGGGAGCCTTTGAGTAGGAATCAGTGCGCGTACTGTAAGGAAGAAGGGCATTGGAGGAACGAGTGTCCGCAAAGAGAGC